TTGAGCAAGTGGTCATCCTCTATAGATTACTTTGGCTGGGACATGTGTTACGCATGTCACCCAATACAGGTTTCCACTGCGAGCGATGTTTGCTGAGGCAGATAATAGGTGGAATAAAGCCAATAGTTGTCAAGCTAATACCTGACACGAGGGTACGAGATCCCCAACCAGGAGTCTGGGTCCCATAAGTCTCGTTAGGCTTACTGGTTGGGGACCTCGGGATGATCATACTCGATGGTTACAGACACTAAGTGATGTGGTTGGGTGTCGTAAACAGTGGCGGTCGTTCATCTCAATTTATTTGCAACCCTGGATCACTGAAATTCTCCATTTTCTATTCGACTCTATGTTCTACTTTCTTGTCTTTCTCCTATTCTTCATTCAAATGGGCAGCCAAAAGACAGCAGCAGAAGACGGCATACGAGATTGTATGATTAATAGCTGTACAAACTGAAACTGAACTGAATTACATACACAGACTGAGAGATAGTGACACACTGCGTGGTGTTTGAATGACTGGGTAAAATCCCCCTTCAATTACATGATTGGTTTCCCGTTTGTTGTCCCAAATAAGTTATTCAAACCCAAGCCTACCTTGTCAACTCCATCATATAATTTTAATAGGGACTCTGGTTTTCTCCACAATTGTCTAATTTATGTATGTCGTTAGGGTCTGCGTTAATACAATAGATTCAACGCAATTCGCTGACCAGTACAAAATAAGTAGTATTGGAATGATTGCGGAAAAATAAACTATATTCAGAGTGACTAACAGGAACTGAAGCTTCTTTTTGGTATGCAATCTACAAGTGTGAACTGGAAAGCACTAAATTTGTGAAATACAGTGTTCCGGAACCAACTGTGTTTACTCGCTCTCCATACTTAGCCAATCCTGTGGCACAGTCAAAACAGGTCACTGAAAGTTTAGAATACAATTTCAGGCGAACAATTGTTTTCAGTAACTCATAATAATACCATTACACTTTATTTGAGGGGAAAAAACCTAGGGGTTCGGAGGAGAACAATAAAATGAGGAGAATCGTTCATTTCGTGTGTGTGCGTGTCCGTGTTTGTGTGTGTGTGTGTGTGTTGCACACCACATTCTCAGATCTGCGCTTCGGGGGTTTTCCAGTTTTGTCACGCCGGTCGAATGACCCAGTTCTGAGGGATCGGTGTTGTTGTGTGAAAATGTTTGTATGCGGGCAAGAAGGAGGAGTGGCTTCGCGAGCCCAGAGATAAGACGTTTCTGGGCCCATAGATCTGGGGTCAAATGCTTAATACAGATGGCCTCGGCTATGGCCAACTTAAGNCGGTTCAGGGGACCTGGTAAATAATGCGGAATGCTTCACTTGGGTCAACACGATGGTCAGTGTCTACACCAAGTGAGCGAGAATCGCACTGGTGATAGATCCGGAATCACCTCGACTCAGCCAGCAGGGATAGTGTTCTGTCATGTGACTAGATAACTACTACGACCGACGTACGATGAGTGCATCACAAACGCATCTGAACGAGTAAACAATCATTGAAGCGGTCAACATCGGTAGTTTATCTTTATTCCATATGGTTANCCCGAAGCACAGATCTGAGAATGTGGTGTGCAACACACACACACACACACACACACACAAACACGGACACGCACACACACGAAATGAACGATTCTCCTCATTTTATTGTTCTCCTCCCAACCCCTAGGATTTTCTCCCGTCATATAAACTGTAATGGTATTATTATGAGTAATTGAAAACAATTGTTCACCTGAAATTGTGTTCTAAATCCGAGTATGGGCATATTTCAAAAGTTGAAACGTTAGTTGTATATGATGTAGTGAAATGCCTGTTTGAATATCCACAAAACCTTTTTTCATTGCAATACAAATTTGGCAAGAATTGTGCCACAGTACAGTACAATATCGATTCTAATAACGATAATACTGATTGATTGATTGATTCCACAGATCGTTTCGCCTTAGAGACACACAGCTCATAGATTATTCCGTAACATATCTTTCGGGGATGTTCAATCAATGGAGGTGGGAGGAGTGGGAATGCACATGACTGATGAAAATTTATGTACGAATCGAGGCTGGATAACTATTGAACGGGACCGTTTAGATTTGAGNAGATTTGAGTGCTCTTATTAAGTGTGAGTGGTCTTCCACTCTCTGGGCGTCATCGATCGTCACTGTTAGGGCTTGCAGCCACGTGATGTGCCCATCTTGTGATTGACCATTGTGGCCCGCCATCGCATGCACGTACGCACCCCATGCGGATTTACTCTGTTTACAAGATCGATCCGCCTCAGCGAATCAGAGTTCAGTATTGACCTGTCCGCATTGATTGGTTCGTTGACTGCCCAATGTGATGATATTGTCCATTTGGTAACACTTGGGCTACTTTGTGTCTGACGCAGTGCTTGCTCACCGGCCACGTTTGTATTTACGTACTGAAAATAGACTACTTAATTCACTACTTGTGTACTTATTGACTTATACGGGATACAACAGTCACTGATAGATTTTCAATGATCCGTCAGCTGACCGTTAACTATAGAAGATCAAAATACTTGGTAATCTTATGGCTTGGAGTTCTTTATTCCTACATTTCTGCCAGACAACTTTCGCTTTTGTGCGTGAGGATCACCTCAATCCAGAAGCAAATATAAATGTGAGGGTGGGGTCGAACGTCGAAAAGCACGTATTTTTCTGACCTTCAGAACAAATCTCACTTTTTCCGCTCATGTAGCTCGGTATGATTAGCCTGCACTGTGAGCTACCGGTCTGGGGTACCAAGACGATAATCTACTTAGAGCAGGGAAGCGGGGTGGGGACGGAGAGAATTCAAGTTTTTTTCTCATGGCAAACAAGCACCGCTTGGACGTATTTAGTCACTAGGGTATAGGGATTGAAATGCCGGTCTGGTGAACTCGGCAGATTAGCAATATGGACATCGTGTCATCATGTGCACACACACACACACACACACGGTAGCTTTAACCAAATGTTCATTGGTACAATGTGTTTATGCGAGTCGATAGTTTCCGATGAGGGATATTCATTGCACACGTCCATTGATCGTTTTATTCACTGTATAACGCACGTAGAGATTAGATGAAGTTGGTTTCTCCCTTTATCCTTCAGGATGAGTTGTCGAAGATTCCGGAATCGGTTGGGGGGGGCGAGTGGTTTGTTAGTGAAAACTAACAGTATCTGACTCCTTGTTATCCTCTTATTAACTATGGTCACATTGATTGGGAAGAGTAGCTAGTATAGTTTACCACTCCGTAATCCCTATCTATCTCTCACCAACTTACCCAATAGCATTGCAGAGATTGTGATACTGACGCGAATCACTAAGGCTCCTTTACAGTGTTCCTCTAATCAATGAGGGTTTGATACTTCATTGAGAACTATAGTTCCGTGACAAAAAAAGACAGGTTCTAGAGGAGTGTCTGCAATTCAATGCGAGACTACGGTGTAGAAATGGCAAGCTATTATCAGCAGATTGGACGGGAAACTAGACGCATACTCACACTCGTCTCATAGATGATTCCCGATATGCTTCATTACTTTACGTTCTATGTCATACCAGAAGATAAATTTAGGCGTTTGACAGTCGCCATATCGCGTTTTCATACCAGTCTGAGGCTTAATGTCAAAATCTCTAAATTTATTTTATTTACAACAACATTCCACAAGATAATCCGAACCATTCAATTTCATATTTCAAGCAATTTTAGATACCCCGTGGACTGGAAGTTTGAGTAGTTGTTTGAATGGTGCAAAATAAAACTGTGTGATCTACGTTTGCAAACCGGGTGGTTCTAAAATAATCAAAATAGGCGTGAATCACGGTCACAAACTGAAACACAGAATCACACTCTGCGCTTGGATCTCTCGTCATACATACGCAGGATAAAAGGTCACAAAAGATGTGGTTCATTTATTGAAAGAAATCAACGGGATGAAATAATATGTAAATAGAAATATTATTAGGCAAATGGATATCAACCAATTGCCGTGTTCGCTTTCCGAATCACACGGCTTCTGATTGGCCAATTCTTTTGGCCTGTAGTCCAATGTCCAGAAACTGGAACACGTAGACGTTCAACTGGCGTCCTTTCAGTGAGCAGACTCACTTCAGGTTCCTCGAACTATACGTGTATTTACTCCAATATTATCGAACTGCATGACCATTTTGATTCATTATAATCATTTTCAAGCTGTGGTGAATGAATTTCAATATCATCATGAGTGCTGGTTAGCGGGGACCGAAAGCGTTTCAGCAGTGATGACTCGATTCATGTAAAATAAGCATAAATCCGAATACAACCGGGTGACCTTGAAATAGGACGATCAACTGATTTGTCACGTGAATTGGCTTTACCCAATTGTTTTAGCACGTTTCAATCGATCGATTGACATGGTTCGAATGTGCACGATCTAGCCAGCCAATGCATCCACAGACCATTCGAGCTTTCTCATGTGGCATTCTAACATATTGCAAGTGTTTGTTTATCCATTCAAAATTTGCTGTCGTAATTGGCGATTACTGGGACTATTGTTTGTCCTAGTTCAAATGTTTATTCTGTCAGTAGAAATTTGGAAATTTCGTGTGTTACTCCATCCAACCCCGATCATTGTGCCGATCGGTTTGAATCGTGGGTTTCGCAGACCCCAATCAACAAAAGATGTAGCTCTATTGAAACGGGAACGTTGGATCGCTTTGGGCCAATTGAATGGAAGCATTTTTCAAACAGATTTCTCGTCCCAAAATTGCGTCCGTCAAACAATATCAATCTCACGGAAACAGAAGAACGTTTTTGCATCATCGACATTCACCGGAACCGGATACTATGCATTTCCAGTTCACATTGATGTTGTACAAAAAGTTTGCCTGTTCAGACAAGGTCGATCAGTCTTACTTGGGGCGATGAATAACAGAGAGTTCGAATACATCATCTCATCTCCGTCCACTTGTGATACCCGATCTGGGACCATGTTAGACTTATTGATCTTAATCAAATCAGCTATCACACATCGATCACGTCGTATGATTATTCGGAATCTGTGGGCAAACAATCAATGCTGGGGTAATCTGATTGTACGTCATGTGTTTGTATTGGGCACCGTGAAAAGCATCTCTGATGTTTGGTTAAAATTGATCGATAAAGAATCTCAACAATTCGGAGATTTGATTCAAGGAAATTTTATAGATAATTATTACAATAACACGCATAAAATGATTTTCTCTATACGTTGGGCGATCGCATTCTGTCCGGAAACACGATGGTATTTGTTTGTGGATGACGATTTTTTTATCGATACCAGATTGTTTTCAGTTGTTCTAAAACAATTAGATCCTCGACTATCGGGTCGGCTAGTAATAGGCGATTTGGCTCGCGCGTCTCCCGTACTTCGTCGCAATCTGCATCGATCCAAATGGACTGTGAGCTATTCCTTGTATCCACAGAATACCTATCCGAAATTTGTACAGGCCGGCATTTTCCTAATGGGTGCCTCCATGGCTTTGGATGTGTATGTGGGATCACGTTTCACACGATTTTTCCCGTTCGATGATGTGTTCATTGGCCTCGTGTTGAATAAACTATTACGGCGCCCAATTCATTTAAATCATCTAATACTAACTCGTCCGCGTGCTGACGTGTTCTACAAAGTGAACAAATCACTTGCTTTGCATGGAGTTTATTCACCCGGTCGTCAACGTTCTTATTGGCGTAGTGCCAAACTTCAACAAATGTGTCTGAAGAAAAACACGTCGGTGATTTGAAATCCCCGTAAGTTGCAACTTACTTCCTTACCAACTGGCCTCGCCAATCTGTGATCGTAATGGTTTGCTATATCTTGAGACCAACAAACAGATCAGCAAGACGGTAACTGTGGAGGAAGGAGGCCACCGGAGCCAGTATCATTTCGCATTGTACCACCGAGTTACGGAAACCCAATATTTCGGCGCATGCTGTATGCAAATCCTGACCCCAGGAACCGGGACCCTGACAAGTTTGAAACCCAGTTCATAGTGAACGTCGTTCATGGTATTTCTTTCATGGTTCAATTGACCAGCGGCACATTTTTGCGAAATTCACTTTCGCTGTGAGACCAGATCATTATGCTGTTTTATTACTGTTTTTGATCAATACTACTACTACTACTACTATGACTATGACAGTTCTTTTCTATCGAATTTTGTCCAAAGGTTTCGAAATGAGCTCAGTACCCTGGAGGGAAACCTTGACTGGCAGAGAACCACCGTAACTTATCGGGACTGGAAGCGGGGATAACAATCTTGACTGACCGAGGACCAGAATATTTGCCTATTCTTAGATTAATACATTCAGATGAAAGACGGAAAACAATGGTGCATTTGGGCTGTCGATCATTCTGAAGGCAATAATATGATAAACTGACTAATCATTCTGCATCAAAGTGTCATGGTTATTGTTGAAAACGTTTAGTGTCAGCTCGCATACACGAGGCTCGGTTTGCATTTTCCAACTTGAGATATCTGTGGCACCGTCGTTACATCCGGCTGTCCGTAAAAGGTCTAGCGGCAATTAGGCC